GACAGGAGGGAAACACTGGCAAAGAACAAAGGTAGGGGTGACATTGTCCAAAAAGAAATATACTCTACCTGACAGGAAAAGAGAAGGGAAGTGTAGAAATATAAATTGAGGCAGTTCTTCAGCAGGGAAAGTTTATAATATGTATTTACAGAATTAGATCATAATACGCATAATACTCCAAACAGCCCATCAATCAATGATTAGATACATAAATTGTGATATACTCACTCAAAAAATAACTTTCAATATAATAAGGAAGGGCTAGGAATGTGGCTTAGTGGTTGAGTGCTCACCTAGCATGCATGAAGCCCTGAGTTTGATTCCTCAGTACCACGTACACAGAAAAAGCCAGAAGTGGCACTGGGCTCAAGTGGTAGAATGCTAGCCTTGAGCAAAGATGCTCAGGGATAGTGCCCAGGCCCTGAGTTCAAACCCCAGGAATGGCAAAAATAAATAAATAAAACAATAAGGAAGACAAACTGTAATTTGGATTATATAAAATGTGCACAGTCATGTGTACACGTGTGTACCATATACATACATGTATATATATGTGTGTGAAAGTTTTTAAAAAGAAATGTACTTATTACTTTGCTTATGACACAGTAACCTCTCTATATATCATCTTTATAATAACAATTTTTTTTTAATGTAAAAACCCCAAGCTGTCCTAAGGGAGAAGCGAGGCAGAAACACTTGCAACACTTAGGACACTCGGGACACCAGGGACGGGGACTGGGTCAGAACAGGTCAGCCAGCACATCCAAGTATCCTCTCTAGTCCCCAACAATCCTCCCGACGCACTCAATGCCTCTGGTTTGTCTCCAGGACAGTCCAAACTAGCTGGACAGGATCTATAAATTATTATTATTATTATTATTATTTTTGTCAGTCGTGAAGCTTGAACTCAGGGCCTGGGCACTGTCCCTCAGTTCTTCAGCTCAAGGCAAGTGCTCTACCTCTTGAGCCATAGCATCACTTCCAAATTATTTTAAGTAACTAATAAAAATTAGTAAAACAAATGGAAATTTGAATAGAACAGTATCCCAAAAGAGCTGGGAGAGAAACAGTTGTTAAATATCCTAAACTGATTTGAAAGAAGATCTCTGGGGGCTGGTAAGGTGGCTCAGTGGTAGAGTGTTTGCCTTGCATGTATGAGGCCCTGGGTTCAATTCCTCAGCACCACAAAAGCAGAAAAAGCCAGAAGTGGCACAGTGGCTCAAGTGGTAGAGCACTAGCCTTGAGTTGAAGAGCTGAGGGTCAGTGCCCAGGCCCAGAGTTCAGGCCCCACAACCGACAAAAAAAAACTAAAGAAAAAGAAAGAAGGTCTCTAGAAGTATAAGCAATTCAGGTTTTAACATTGTTGTTTGTTTGTCTGTTTTTCTCTAACCAACCAATTGTCTCTTAGTATTGAGATTCAGACTATTGTAGAACACTAAGTGGGATCTTGCTCACTGTTTCATAGTTGTCCAGCTCAGGGATGATGACCCAGGCCCTGAAGTGTTCTTCCCCCTGCTGCATGGCCCATGTTGATGTCTCTAATACATACACCTACTGTGATGGAAGGGTTGTTTTCACTTCATTACAATTATCATTTGTATCAACTAATAAAATGTACTTACCCCATCAACTGGAGATTTCCCTGGTGTAAAAGTCACTCGAACAAAACGTTTATTGACAACTTCCAGTCTGTCCACCTAAAATGTAGAAAGGTAAATATTCAAGCATAAATGTGCAGAAAGGCATGCCAAACCTACCAATAAAAACAAAGATCAGAGAAGGATCCCACACATTTGTACCTCTCACAAGGTGAGAGGTACCACCTGTAGAATACCCCCTTATATTGATACTATACACTAGAAGGAATCCCAAATGGTGCCCACATTTAATTTGGCCTATTTTTAAACTGCTTTGTGTTTGTTCTTCTACATTTTTCTTTTCCTTCCAACTTTATACTTGCTGGCATTTTGGTTCTGTGGGCTCTTCTGCTTGATGAGCACACTCTATAATTTACATCCATTCCCTATTAAAAGATAGGCTATTTCAACTTGTTCTTACTGCTGCTATGACCACTTCTGTACACAGTGATGAACCTACAGACACTAAGGCTGGGTTGAAGGGTATACATACTTTACCTTTACCTTTACTATTACCAAAGTGTGTTCCTATTATACTGTCAGCCTAATATTCTTACTGGTCTAAATCCCCACCACATTTGGTATTATAAGACTTTACCACTCCATAAGTTCAGTATGTTTTCAACTTCTTTTCTTTTCCCTTTTCTTCTGGTGCCAGTACCATGGCTTGAATACAGGGTTATTTGTTCTCTCTCAGTGGCACTCTTCCGCTTGAGCCACACCATTAGCCTGGCTTTTTGCTAGTTAATTAGAGATGAAGTTTCAGAAACTGTTCTTCTTGGGGTTTTGAGCCTCAATCCTCAGCCCCCTAGGGTTATAGTTGTAAGCCACCTGAGCTTAGCTAAAACTTGTTTATTTTTTTCTCCCTAATTATACCAGGTTCTTAACAGCATGTTTAAACTTCTCATCCTAAGGACTGTTACTGTCAGCATGAGCTCCTTAAGACATGCTTATTTCTCATGATCCTGTCAGCAAGTCTGAAAGGTTTGAATGACAAAGTGAGAGTCCAGAACAGTAGCAGAGAAGCTAGAACAGAGGAGTCAAGGCTCTTGGGTTGAAAAGGAAAGACTGTTTGGGGGCCAATTGATCAGGACCAGGTAGCAACTCTCTTGAAGCAGCTGCTAACATATCTGGGAACTCTGCTGCAGGCCCATCCTTGCACATCAGAGTTACACTGTAACAAAGCAAGTTCTTAGCTTCTGAAGTTGAGATTCAGACCATTTAGAGCCTCCCTTTCAAGAGCTAAACAATTGCTTCAATCTGAGAGGAAGGCAGGTATGGCTCAGTATAAACACTTGCCTACTTCTACTATATGCAAGGCACTGGGTTACATCCCCAGCATCACCAAGAAGGCTGAAGGATTGTATAAGACCAGCAAAGATTCAATCTCAAAACAAATGAATAAAGAAAAGGCTAAGATGTGGCTCAATGTGCTGTAAGGCTGTGGGTTTAATCCACAGCACACATAGAAGGACAGAGTGCACATGTGCATGTGTGCGCGCACACACACACACACACACACAATCTGAGCAGGTAAGACAATCTTGGGAAGATGGTTGAGTAGGAAGCATCAGAAATCTGTCCAGCCATATATCCAAACCTCATGTGTCTGGTATAACTATCTAGGAACTCAGGAGTTTGTTAAAGGGTTATAACCTGTAAAAGCAGTCCATTTCAGCACTTACCGCTAGCAGCCACCCACCCTAGCTCTATCCTGGCTCTGCTCCAGGGCTGGGAGCTCCTAGAACAGCTGGTATATAAACTGCAATCACCAGGACAGGCTAAAAGGACCTGTCCTCAAAGAGTAGCTCTATGTTCTAAAGTCAGAAGTAGTCCTTACTGTCTCTTCCTCCTGTGACTGAAGTGACTTCCAGGGACCTACAGGGCCAAAACTCTTGGTCCTTTTCATTTTTCTTTATTCCCTAATTCTGCAGCCAGATATTAAAGAGTAAAACATTAAAAAATAAAAAATAACAACTGCATTGACATTACCAAGTCTGTTCCTGGTACTGTGGTTCACACCTCCAGCTACTAGAGAGAGCAATGTTAGCAAGAACCCAGAAAAGTTGAGTGTGGTGTGGTACACCTATAATTTACCCAGCTACTTCTAAACAGGAGGACTGAGGTATAAATCCAGCCCCCAACAAAAATTTAAAAAACCCTATCTAAAAAATAAAGTAAGTCTCAGCACAAAGCCCAGAGTTCAAACTCCAGTAACTACCCTTCAAAATAGGAAACAATAAGAAATTAACAAATATGGAAATGGTACTGTGGCTCAAGTGGTAGAGCAGTAGTAGCCTTGAGCTGAAGAGCTGAGAGACAGAGAGCCCAGGCCCAGAGTTCAAGCCCCACGACCAACAAAAAAAAAAAAAAAAGAAATTAACAAATTTGAGGAACAGAAAGAAAAATGAAGAGAATTTAACTTAAGGAACCCACCAAGTGGACCAATTTACACATTGTAGGAGTCACAGAAGAGAAAAGAAAAGGAAAAAAAGAGTATTTTTTAAAAAATGGTTGAACCCCATTTGTTAGGAAATGGAAAGATTTGGAAAAAATTATATGAAGTGAAATAAGCCATGCCCAAAGAAACATAGGTCCCATGGTTTCCTTTATTTGCGATAACTAGTATATGTCTGAGACAAGCAGAAAGGGTCAGACAAGTTGATGTTAGGCAAAATGAAGCCCAAGATAAGGACTCAAATGTTTTTTCTTTCTTGTGATTGTTTCTAGCATATTTATAAGATGATTTCTTTGTTGCTTTGTATGTCCCTCCCCCATGGTATAAACCCTGTTTTCACTGTATTTGATGCTGGTATAATTTGGGGAGGGGAAGGGAAAAAACAAATTGTTTAAATAGGGATACAGGTGGACCCATTGCAACAATGAGATGTACAAAATGTACAAGACGCTATGTTGAAAAATGAACTTAACAATTTAGGCGGGGGAGAGGGGGGAGGAGGGGATAAGGGGGGAAGTGTAGTTGTGGAGATGGGAGGGAAGGGATGGTAGGGGAAAAACAAAGGAGGAGGCAACAATGCTTGATAAAAAATGTATTCATTACCTTGCTCATGTAACTGTAACCCCTCTGTACAGTATCTTCATAATAAAAAATAATTAAATTTTTTAAAATGGTTGAAAACTTCTCAAATTTAGTGAAAAACAAGAATAGTAACACCCAATCTCAATGAACTCAAAAAGAAAACTCTCATTAAAAAACTTTCCAAAAACAATAATAATAAACATAGCAAGAGAAGCATTTCATCACATACAAGAGATCCTGAATAAGACTGAGATACTTTCTTTTTCTTTTAATTTTAGTGCCAGTCCTAATTGAACTCAGGGCCTGGGTATTGTCCCTGAGCTCTTTTGCTCAAGTCTAGTACTCTACCACTTGAGCCATAGCTCCACTTCTGGCTTTTTGGTGGTTAACTAGAGATTAGAGTCTCATGGACTTGTCTGCCTCGTCTGGCTTTGAACCATGATCTTCAGAGCTCAACTTTCTCAGTAGCTAGCATTGCAAGCTGAGCAACTGGCACCCAACTTATAATTTCTTTTCAGGAACTTAGAAGGTACAAGTAGTAGTACAATAATCAAAATAGTAATATAAAGAACAAAAAACAAATTTGTCAGCCAAGAGTGATATACCTAGGAAAATACTTCTTCAAAAGTAGGGGAGATGGGTTGGGAAGAATGGGGGAAAATGATCAAAGAGTGACATTGATTAAGATTCATTGCATTCATTACTACTTTGTTGAATGGCAGATCCTTTATAAAACTACTTACAGGTAAAAACAAAACAAGATAAAATAAAATAAAAAACAAAGTAGGGGATAATTGAAGATATTTTCCAGATAATGAAAAGCTGAATGGTTTGATCACCAATTGTCTTGTCCTACAAGAAATGTTTAAGGAGGCAGGTATCAGTGGCTCATACCTGTAATCCTAGCTACTCAGGAGACTAAGATCTGAGGCAGACAAATCCTTGAGACTCTTATTACTAATTAATCACCAAAAAGCCAGAAGTGGAGGTATGGTTCAATTGGTAAAGCACTGGCCTTGAGTGGAAAAGCCAAGAGAGAGTATCAGCATACACCGACACAGATACATGCACACATACACAGACACAGACAGGCACACAGGCACACAGACACACACACAGAGCTTCAGGAATTCCTGCAAAGCAAAATATAGGAAAATCACAAATGGTAACCAAAAGTCAAATGAAGAACTAAAGAGACCACAATGGCAAATACAGAAACATTATAAAAGCTAGTATTACTATTCTTTCATTTGTACTCCCATACTTTGTTTTGTACATAATTTATGAGACTTGTGTAAGTACACTTAAAAGAACTGCTAGACAGTGTTTTGGGCACACAAAATATGAAGATATAATTTGGTGACATTCCAATAACCAAAAAGGGTAGGATACAGGAAAATAACCTCCATGGTAACCACAAAGGAAGTAACTATAGACTATGAGAAAAACATTTAAATGTTTCAGTTCAAACCAATCAACTAAACACAAAGGACTAATGTATGAAATGAGGTACAAAAACTTTAAAACAAACATGAAATCAGCCAGGTGGTTCACATCTATTATTCTAGCTACTCAGGAAGCTGAGATCTGAGGATTGTGGTTCTAAACCAGCCAGGGCAAGAAAAATCTGTGATATTCTTACCTCCAATTCATCACCAAAAGAAAAAGAAAAAAACAAAAACAAAAACAAAAAACCCCCACAAGTGCTAGCTTTGAGCAAAAAGTTCAGGGATAGCATCCAGGGCCCAAACTCAAGCTCCAGTACTGGCACACACACAAAACAATAGTAAAATGACAGAAGTCCCTTAGGAGAATGAATATAAAAAATACAATCCACATAATGTTAAAGACTTACTGGAGATCTAAAGAAACAAAAAGACTGAAGTGAGAGGATGGAAAATGATGTCCCATAGTCCCATTAAATTGTAACCAAAAGAGCAGGAGTATACATGTATCAGAAACACTGACTTCAAGTAGGAAAGTGTATTTTTTTAATCAAAAAGATTTTTAGTGCCAATACTAGCAGTACAGAGAAAAAAAAAAAGCTAGAGACTATTTTAAACACATATATGCGGGGGGCTGATAACGTGGCTTAGTGGTAGAGTACTTGCCTAGCATGCATGAAGCCCTGATTCCTCAGTACGACATAAACAAAAAAAGCTGGAAGTTGTGCAATGGCTCAAGTGGTAGAGTGCTAGCCTTGAGTAAAAGAAGCTCAGGGACAATCCCAATTCCAGAGTTCAAGCCCTAGGACTGGCAAAAAAAAAAAAAAAAAGTAAGATTAAAAAACCAAAAACTAAGTTTGTCTGCACCAGTTCTGGGGCTTGAACTCCACGTCTCATGCTCTCCTTTAGCTTTTTTCACTCAAAGCTGGTGCTCTACTAGTTGAGCCACAGCACCAAAAAACACGCAAACCATACTTCCCTGAAAACACTAAACTTTGAACAAAGCAAGAAGCATAGTACACAAATTCAGAAGAAAAGAACCCTTCCCCTCCACCAAAAGTAGTTATTCCCTACTAATTTCACTGTGTTGTTCACTTGTAAAAGGCAGGAAGAACTACAGGTGATACCTTGGAGTGCAGTCCGAGCCACTGTCCCTCACCTTCCTATCAGAAGCACCATGGCGGGAATCGGGAGGATCCTGACCCCACTGTTGACTTGGTATGATAGGCTTGAGCTTGTATACCACCGAGAGGGATCTAAGGGAAGTGTTCCACCATTGCCGACATGTCCATGGTGTACAACCAACACTCCAGGCATTCCAGAGGATTAGCCTTCCTGTATTTTGAAAGCATACATGACACCAAAGAGGCCAAAGAACATGCCAATGAGAAGGAGCTCAACAGGCAGTGGGTCAGAGTGGATTTCTCCATAACAAAGAGACCACAAAGCCCAACACCTAGAGTGTATATGGGAAGACCTACCTATGGTGGATTGAGATTATTACCATAGATAGTACCGGGGAGGGGGATTGAGAGCCCATGTACAAAAGGAAACCTCCCTATTATGCCCATGGAAGTACTTCAGTACTTCCTTCTCAGTAATGGAGAAAATAGATTTAAGACCAACAGGAAATAGAGGATATAAGCATAATAAAACAACTATGTCTAATCTATATACAAAATACTCCACCCAACAACAGCATACACATTCTTGATTTCCAAGCAAATGTAAGATTTTCCAAGACAGTCTAATCACAATAGAATGAAATTAGAAATTCAAAACAGGATGAAAACTAAAAATGCACAAATCTGAAGAACTAACACACTTAGACAATCAATAGGTCAAGGAAGAAATCACAAAAGAGAATGGAAAATACTTAGAGATCAATGAAAACAAATCCACAGTATATCCAAACTTACAGGACACAGCAATAGCAGAACTAGTTCCAGAGAAAGAACAAACTAAACCTATAATAAGCAAAAGGAAGGAAAATACAACATAAAGATTAAAATAGAGAAAAGATGAAAGAGTGAGGAAAAATAGAGGGGTAGAGAGGTCTAACTCACATGGTAAATTGCTTTTAAGCACAAGGCTCAGAGTTCAAACTCCAATAATGAAAAGCAATACAAAAGAAAAAAACCAATGAGGGGCTGGGAAGGTGGCTCAGTGGTAGAGCGCTTGCCTTGCATGCATGAGGCCCTGGGTTCGATTCCTTAGCACCACATAAGCAAAAGGAAAAAAAGCTGGAAGTGGCGCTGTGGCTCAAGTGGTAGAGTGCTAGCCTTGAGCTGAAGAGCTGAGGAGGGACAGTGCCCAGGCCCAAAGTTCAGGCCCCACAACCAGACCCAAAAAAAACCCCAAAAAACCAATGAAACCAAAAGTTGGCTCATTGGAAAAGATCATCAAAACTGACACTTATTGCTAGATGAACTAAGAAAAAAAGAAATAAGATTCAAATCACTAAAACCAGAACTGAAAGTGTGTGTATATTAACACTGAATAAAGAAATAAAAAGGAATATAACAAAGTACCATTGGCTGGGTGTGGTGGTGCATACACCCAACTACTCAAGATGTAAAGATTAGGAGGATCAAGGTTCAAAGCCAGTCTAATAAAAAAAAGCTAGTATTTCATTTCAATCAAGCCAGGTATAATGATGCACACTTATCCCCACTACTCAAGAAGCACAAGTAAAAGACTACAGGTTGGGTCCATCTCTAGGGAGAAAAAAAAATCTAAGACCTTATTGAAAAGACTAGATTTAAAAAAAAAAAAAGAGTCCTGAGGGCATGACTGGTAGAATACCTGCCTAGAATTTTATGATGCAACTTTGTATTTATTCAAAAGAATTGAAAACAGAATCTCAAAAAGGCCTATGTATATACAATGTTCAAAGCAGCATTATTCACAATAGTTAAAATATGGAAGAACTGCACAGTGTCCATCAATGATAGATAAACAGGTAAACAAAACATGGAATGTATTTATGTGTACAGGTGTACATGTGTATATATACATATGCACACACAACAGATTATGCACCTTTAAAATGGAAGACATTCTGACAACCAACCAGGAAAGACAAATATCTACGACTCTATTAATATGAGGTATCTCTAGTCAGAATCACAGAGGAAAAAGTAGAACATAGTTGCCTGGTAGGGGCCTTAAGAAGGAGAGAATGAGTACCACTGTTTACTGGGTAGTTTCACTTGTTTAAGATAAACATTTTAGAGATGCATAACAGGGATGATTGTACTTATGGATGGATTTAGTATAACTGTATACATTTAAAAGTAATTGTATACATTTAAAAATAATTGTTGTTTGTATTTTACCAAATGAAAAACTGGGGAGAAAGAAAAGATAAGGATGAAAAGATTAACTGCATGCTAACTTCACTTAAGAAAATACTAGTGAAAATAATTTAAAATGAGAATGTTATTAATGAATTATGCATGTTACCCATAAAAAGGTAAAATTATTTCAACAGATGGTAAAACAAAGGAAAAAAAATCTGTTCCAAGTCACCTTAAAAGAGTGACAAGCAGTTGAGTGCTAGTGGCTCACATCTGTAATCCTATCTACTCAGGAGGCTGAGATACGAGGATCACAGTTCAAAGCCAGCCCAGGCAAGAAAAGTCTGTAAGACTCTGATATCCAATTAACCATCTAAAAACCAGAAGTGGAGCTGTGGCTCAAAGAGGTAAAGTACTAGTCTTGAGCAAAAAAAAAAACCTCAGGGACAGCTCAAGCCCAAGTTCCAGGCCCATGACTGACCAAAAAAAAAAAAAAAAAGGTCACACACACATATACTTCCTCAATGTACTTATAATAAACATTAATTATTTGGAAGGACAGCCACTTGTCACAAAAGTGAAATGCTAGT